GGCCATCTGACCAATCAGAGCAGAGCAGGCTCACGGAAAGGCGGGGTTTAGAGAGACTGAATCTTTGAACTGCTTCGAACGAATCGTTTGAGAATCGCTGGAAAATGAGGTGATATTAAATGCATATTTTGAGAAAAGGAAAGCGTTTTTTTTTACCTTGCATGCATGTAATCCTCTTGTAGGAGACTCCCAAAACAATATTAGGAACCTTAAAAATGGCATAATAGGGGCACTTTAAACACTACCAAACTTTCAAAAATGATGATTTCTGGATGATATTTTACAGCTTTTAGGATGCATGATACAGAACCAAAGGATAATTATACTAATAAAGTGAATCTCATAATTTCAGACACTCATTGAGGTTCATTGACTTGCCTTCAGCGCAATATCCCATGCATCCTTGCGTTGGTTGGAGTAAGTACACATAAAATTCCCCGCAATTGCGGACGGTGACAGGCAGGCGAAAAAGACAGCAGTCTTTACTAGCGCTTCCGAGGAACTGCCAGGTAGCGCAGGCTGTCATCTGCTTCACCTCTAGAGGGCGAGGGAGAGTCTCTCCTTCGGCCAGAGAGAGCCACACTGGGGCTTGTGTTCCACAGTGATTCACCTGTATGGGTTACCGTCATATAGAAGCATGGGTCATTAAGTCGTAACATAAAGAAGACATTGTTCAGCAGGCTGGGCTGGACCGATTACACAGATGCACTGTACTGTACCTCCACACATTTGGTGGGCATACGGGCCGGCTTATCAAATATCTGGAACTGATACCATCCGGGAGATAGTGAATGATCACAAACGAGCTCCTGCAGGGCAGACTGGAGCAGCTGCTGGGAGCTGAATCTGGTGCTTCGGTACGGGCTCTGAAGAACAGTATAACCCCCACGACTGCATTCAGGGATTTCCCCTACAAAAATACACACAATCACACACTTAGTGTTGCTCAAAATCACACAAAATAGAAAATGCCAATACCAGAGCACTGAGACATTAAAATAAATTAATGAGAAAAATCTGATCTTCATTAAAAACTTATTTAGACAACAACTCAAAAGTCTGGGGTTGGAAAATTAAGATTTTTTAAAATGTTTTTGAAAGAAGTCTCTTATGCTCGCCATTTATTTGACTGAAAATACTGTAAATATTAGAAAATATTATGAAAATTTGAAATAACTGCTTTTTTAAAAATCTATTTTAAGATGTAATTTATTCCTGTGATGGCATAGCTGAATTTTCATTGATCTTTCACAAATCATTCTAATTTGTGGATTTGGCGCTCAAGGAACATGTCTTATTATTATCTATGTTGATTGATAATTATTTGATTAATAGAAAGTTCAAAAGTTTTAAAGAAAGTACAAAATTTTTTCGATTTTTAAATCTTACTGACTTACTGAATGGTAATGAAGGTAAAATAAGTTCTGCACACTTTTTGTCACAAAAATTAATTATTATTGGAAAAATTAGATTAAATTACATGAATGTCATTAAATAAAAAACATCAAACCAAATGGCATCTGCAAATGAAAGACACTCCTTTCTCAAAACTAGTGTCAATTTCAAAGCAAACGTCTCATGTCACTTGAAAAACGAATGACAGAAACATCTCCTTAGCAAGAACCAACAATGAATTTGAGAGTAATTCAAGCTCTTAATGGCCTCAGCCCAGTAATGGCTACCATTGCAGCCCAATGAGACACTGAGATCATCACCTATCTGTTTTTGGCAATAGAATTAGAGGACACAGATGACAAGCCAGGCTCAGCCGCAAAGACAACATGCTGCTTGAACATCCAAGATGGATCTGAAAGAGCCAAGTATTTTTTCCTCTATATATTTACTGTACGACTTGGATGCGTTGTGCTACCAGTGCTATCAGTCTACATGAGGAGTCAGAAAGTCTCTGAACCCAATTATGAAGATGTTGTATATGCCTAAACTAAAACTAAGCAGGAAACAGCTGGTAAGATGCATCAGAGTGAATAAAACTGGGTAAAATGAAATAAAATCAAATTGGGTCACTGAAAACGCAAGTAACTGCATTGCATGCATGACATGGCAAGTCATGTGATGTCAACAAGGCGAGGAGGCGACCCGCTCCATGTAAAATAAAACATCTTTTTTTTAAAGACTGAAATGTCTTCAGTCTTCATCTCATGCGAATGCACATAATTTTACTAATATTTCTCAAAATTACCACTGATTTATTTTTGAGTAAAACTTTTTTAATTAGCAAACAATGTACTGAGGGCACCTTTAAGTGTGATCATACAAGGTAATTAATAAATTGATATATTTTTTATATATAATCATGATTTAGCCTATTAAATAATAAATATAATTTTCTAATTCGAATAAATTACTCTCATTGCTCTCAGAAATAAGGCAACCAAAACTGTTGCCCAAAATCTACGTAACCATAGCTTAGTCTAAGGCAGAATGTTTATCGATCGACTTACCTTTCTGACAACTGACAGTTTTGTTTAAAAGAATAAATATAAAAGCGATGAAATACTCCATACAGACGTTTAGACGCATTTCCGTCTCTAAAGCTCTTTAGAAAGCCTCTAAGAGCGTGTCCAAAGCAATAACAAAATCCAGATTAATATCCCGAACGATATGTCGCGAAATGAAAGCTGTTAAAAAGAACATTTGATATGTCTTCAGCGCTTTTGAGGCGAACAGCGTGTTTCATGGGCTCCTGTCCAGACCACACACACCTCCTCCCGCTGGAGCATCTCGAGCTAACTGTCCCATACTGCAGTCTTCGCATAATATTTCACACATAGCCTACATATTTTAATCCTAACCTTTTCAGTTAAATCTACTAATAAAAAGGTGTACTGTAGTGTGTTGATATGACTATGATGAACGTGAATTTGTAAACAACGTCCCTAACTGTGGCATTTCCTCCACAACTACAATTAATTTTGGCACGAATAAAGTTCTTTAAAAAATTGTGTAGCTACTTGTTTACAAGTAGGCCTAAAGAGTAGGCTACTTCTATAATGAAGAGTAGGCTTTGCTTGAGATGAAATGAGACGTGATATTTTTATATTTAGCCTATTTATTACGTATATTTAAATAGGCTACGTATTTATTTTCAACCAAACTTTATAATAGCCTACAATGAAAAACATACATTACAACATATGAAATTAGACGTAGCAAGACAAGGGAGGCTGGAGCATTTAAGGCCTATAAAAATGTTCAAAATGTAATTTTCACCACAAAATAAATATAACAGAAAATTTTAGATGTAGTGCAAATGTCTGTGACTTTTGTTTGTTGTTAGTAAAGCGTTTTCAAAAGAGTTTTCTAAAAGTCCACAGGGCTAGAAGTGCCCACAGATGAAGAAACACCCAATAACAATTAATTTTATTGTCCCGTGATTTGCAGAATTCATCTTCCTTCCAGTCTGAATAGAGAAGCAGATGGTAATATTGTCTAGTCTACGTTTTTTTAAAGAAAACATGGCTGTTTTTCTCTTCTGTGTACCTTTCATCTCTTAATATGTGGTGTAATGACAAGAGAATATCCATCATGTACCTACAGTAGCCTATTAAATATAGGCTAGTAAATTAATTGCAGCCTTCAAAGTTTAAGTTCATGCAATACCCGCTGCTGTTAGTTGAATTATTATGGCAAGCTACCAAATCAACAAGTTATGGCTCTGCTTATGTTGATCAACAGCTTTCTAATTAAACACTGACCTTACTGAGCATTAACAATAATTATTCTTCACGGACTGTCCATTGCTGGGCTGCTTATATCAACATAATGATAATCAGCCAAAGTTCTGCTCTGAGAAAGTTAAACACAATCTGTTGTGTGATGCCTGCGAGACTTTGTGAAGGAATCACATAACCAGAGGCCATCTGTTAAACTGTTTTTATCAAGGGCGTGCCACTCCTTCTCAAAGAAGATGTGAATAACATTCACGGGATGAAGACTGAGCACTGGCATAACACCATATGTTTCTCTACGAGAGGTGTTGACAGTCTGTATGAAATAATTCAATTCTTTCTCCAAACTGTATATTTTTACTGAATGATACTCATTAGGCAGAACGAAACCTCAACATATTCCCAGTGTTTTTACTTTGATATGGATAAAAGGGGTTAATGCAGTAAAACAGCTGTGACACCTAATGAGAAAAGCAGATGGTAAACAGTCATCAGTGGCAAGACTTTTCCATGATCTAAAGGTGTGATTAGCAATCAATATAACACAAAGTCTAAATGCTGCAAATGTATAAAAAAGAACTAAAGTGCTGGAAACAGGAAAGTAAATGATTTAAAGGAATAGTTCACCCACAAATGAGAATTCGTACTTACCTTCATGTTGTTTTAAACCTGTATGCTGTTATTTTCTTATTCTGGAATATAAAATTATCATTTTTGTCCCCATATAATGACAGTGATCATGCTCCAAAGGTAATAAATTATACCATAAATTTAAGTAAGTACATTTAAAATGAAAGAAGATGGAAAGTCAACACAAAACATCAATATAAGTAAAAGCTAACGTGGTCTTCTGAGGCTTTTGTAAAATGAATATAAACCTCTGAGACTGCAGAGGACTCAATAGTCCATCTAGTCACTTGAAATGATCATTTGTGCTTTTTGTAATGTATATGACGGAACTAAGAGGAGTGTGAATTGTAAACTTTTACAAGGATGCTCTTGCTCTTTAAGCTCTTTAAGCTAAAAAGCACTTTTCCATTGTTCAGCTTCAAAGTTTAAGTTCATGCAATACCCGCTGCTGTTAGTTGAATTATTATGGCAAGCTACCAAATCAACAAGTTATGGCTCTGCTTATGCTGATCAACAGCTTTCTAATTAAACACTGACCTTACTGAGCATTAACAATAATTATTCTTCACTGACTGTCCATTGCTGGGCTGCTTATATCAACATAATGATAATCAGCCAAAGTTCTGCTCTGAGAAAGTTAAACACAATCTGTTGTGTGATGCCTGCGAGACTTTGTGAAGGAATCACATAACCAGAGGCCATCTGTTAAACTGTTTTTATCAAGGGCGTGCCACTCCTTCTCAAAGAAGATGTGAATAACATTCACGGGATGAAGACTGAGCACTGGCATAACACCATATGTTTCTCTACGAGAGGTGTTGACAGTCTGTATGAAATAATTCAATTCTTTCTCCAAACTGTATATTTTTACTGAATGATACTCATTAGGCAGAACGAAACCTCAACATATTCCCAGTGTTTTTACTTTGATATGGATAAAAGGGGTTAATGCAGTAAAACAGCTGTGACACCTAATGAGAAAAGCAGATGGTAAACAGTCATCAGTGGCAAGACTTTTCCATGATCTAAAGGTGTGATTAGCAATCAATATAACACAAAGTCTAAATGCTGCAAATGTATAAAAAAGAACTAAAGTGCTGGAAACAGGAAAGTAAATGATTTAAAGGAATAGTTCACCCACAAATGAGAATTCGTACTTACCTTCATGTTGTTTTAAACCTGTATGCTGTTATTTTCTTATTCTGGAATATAAAATTATCATTTTTGTCCCCATATAATGACAGTGATCATGCTCCAAAGGTAATAAATTATACCATAAATTTAAGTAAGTACATTTAAAATGAAAGAAGATGGAAAGTCAACACAAAACATCAATATAAGTAAAAGCTAACGTGGTCTTCTGAGGCTTTTGTAAAATGAATGTAAACCTCTGAGACTGCAGAGGACTCAATAGTCCATCTAGTCACTTGAAATGATCATTTGTGCTTTTTGTAATGTATATGACGGAACTAAGAGGAGCGTGATTTGTAAACTTTTACAAGGATGCTCTTGCTCTTTAAGCTCTTTAAGCTAAAAAGCACTTTTCCATTGTTCAGCATGTTCTTATTGTACCTCAAGACCAATCAGCAAAAGGGTTGTCCTTCCAGCTGGACATCTGACAATGTGCAATGGACAGTTTGTGTTAAGAGCTTTTGCTCTTTTAAAACATGACCCCATAAATCCCAGCTGTGACCTTTGACCTACTGGTTCAGCCACTTACAGTCTTGAGTTTGGTTCTGTCAGCTCTTTTCTTCTGTTCTGGAACTTTCATGTAAAGTTTATAGAGTATGTAGTCGAAATCATAGTCGAGGTCAAGTCAATACCCTCCACTCTAACGGTACAGGTTTGAAGGCGTTTTATTATGATAAGCGCTTAATCTTTAAGAAAACTTTTTCTGGTCTGTTAGTGAAATTTTATATGCTCATAATGTATTCACAATATGTTAGCTTTATCTGTTTTCTTCATCTATTCCCATCCCCAACCGTGAAAGATGATATAAAAATGACAGCAAATTATTGCTTTCCAGTGACTACTGCCTTTATTACAGAACATTATAGGCTACAAAATTATGCTTTATCTCGATTAGTTATTGCTTTACCGTTCTATAAATTATGTGATTTTGTAGATGTTTAAGAGGATTGGACAACGGAAATCGAGAGAGTTGGTGTCTTTAAATGAGTTGTTTGCTGACCTCTGCTGGTTTTGATTTGAAAGTACAATTTTAACTTTTGCATCCCTTATAAAACACAAAAGCAACTTGCAAAATACTTAACATTATTTAAACACGAGTAATTTCATTCAGAATGCCAAAATGAGCATGAAAGAAATAAAATATGAACATGTCCTATTTGCTGCATTTGCTAAAAACATTAGAAAGATTTAATAGCCTATAACCCCCCCCCCCA